ATAAATATGTATATGTGAATGTAAAAATATATGTGTACATGTAAATACGCATATATTAATACCTGTTGTGTATACTCATACTCTTGAGATGCATTAAGAACTTGTTAATCTTAATCATTAAGCTAATGCTATTAACGTGATGGCATTTACTATAAAACCTTAGGAAGTCTAAGAGAAAGTCAGTCAAATGACCTACACACCAAAAACAGAAGTATATTTAATATAAATATATTAATAAATTAATGTATTTAATATTCAAATATAATAGATCAATAAGATTAGCTACCTTTGAATTTAAGGTTAACCTCGCCCTATTCTTTAACACACTATTAAGAAACGGTTTATATAATTGTTACACCTTTGCAAACACTTCAAAATGAGCATTCAATGTCAATGCTTGCCCAAATGATTTAAAAGTTCTAAGGGATTCTGGAGCCAATATTTCAAAATGAAGAAATCAGATTGTCAATGCTTTTAATGTGATATACTTTGAAATGGTATGCTTTTACATGTAATAGCTTGGTTTCTGCCAATTGTACATCTGTAGTATCTGTACCTTATATAATAATTATTGCGGCATCCTCTAGGGTAGAATTTGTGACCAGCTGATAAATTTTAAATAACTTTTTAAGAGTGTAGAGTCATGCCAGTCCCAAAGACTGCAAAAGGGATATCACAGCTATCCAGGGAACCAGAAGCAACATTTAAACTGTTCTCTCTAGATCGAGTTTCCTTCCCCTGCCCACTCCTCATTAAAAATAATAAGTTAACTACCAATAAGAAGGAGGAGTAGGAGAGGAATTTTTAGGTTTCCACCTTACTATTCATACAGCTTGTTTTATTTGAATGAGTGAAATGTACCAGTCAGAACATCAAGATTACATGTTTTATACAGAAGTCAATTGTACTGTATCTAAAATTCATCGATTGTAATAATACCTAAGCATCGTTAGAGACTTACAGATGGGAGGTTTCTCATGAACAAATGAAAAAGGGGAAAGTTGCCAAATCGCAAAGAATTCTTCACATCTTTATTTACATTTTTTTCTCTTACATAATCTAAGAATAGGTAATTGTTTCAATATTGCAAGCAATCCTCTGCAATATATATTCAGGGTTAAAAAAATCACACACTGAGCTTCAGACATTTTAATCAAGTTTCACAAGTTTTAACTCACGTAAAATGAGAACCAATTTCTTATGGAAAACATGGGGTTCAGTTCAGGGAAAGTAAATATCCACTTGTCTGCTCTAATGATCAGACCATACCTGGGGTATTAGGCTCAGTGCTAAATGCCCTGTTTTTAAGAGGCACATTCACAAACGAAACACATGTTCAGAACAGTCAGGATACCAAAACAAAGTTAGGTGATGGAGGCTTTAATCTGGGGACTATCTGCCTGGAGAAGAGTAGCCTTCCCTGATAACCGGTTTTTAAGCTTTTGAAGAGCTGTTTTTCAGAAAAGCTTTTTTTTTTTTTTTTTTTTTTTTTTTAAGAGCTGGTCTTTGTTGCTCCTGACAGCCTATATCCAAGTCAATGGCTAGAGGTTATAGAAGGCAAATTGTCCCTCAACATAAGGACAGGCCTCCAAACAATCAGAGCTGCCCAATGTGGCTCTGGATGCTTCCTGAAGAGGTGGCCTGCCCGTCTTCAGAAATATTCTGTCAAAGGTCCTCCATTTTGTGTTGGAGATCATACTAGATGGGTGTTTTCTTCCCTGAGCTTAGGATTCTCTCGCCCGAATTCATCTTCAACCAACTCATTGTAATTTTCTATTACTAGGTTTCCCTGTGGTCTCTGCTGGTGACTCTGGTGGTACTTTTCATAATGACCGGCACTATGTTAGGACCTCAACTGTTGGCAAGTATTCCTGCAGCTGTTTATGTGATAGCAATTTTTATGCCTTTGGCAGGCTACGCCTCAGGCTATGGTTTAGCTACTCTCTTCCATCTTCCACCCAACTGCAAGAGGACTGTATGTCTGGAAACAGGTAGTCAGAATGTGCAGCTTTGTACAGCCATTCTAAAACTGGCCTTTCCGCCGCAATTCATAGGAAGCATGTACATGTTTCCTTTGCTCTATGCGCTTTTCCAGTCTGCAGAAGCAGGGATTTTTGTTTTAATCTATAAAATGTATGGAAGTGAAATGTTGCACAAGCGAGATCCTCTAGATGAAGATGAAGATACAGATATTTCTTATAAAAAACTAAAAGAAGAGGAAATGGCAGACACTTCCTATGGCACAGTGAAAGCAGAAAATATAATGATGGAAACCACTCAGACTTCTCTCTAAATGTGGAGATACACAGGAGCTTCGTCTTGCTGAAATATTGCTTCATATTTATGGCGTGTGGTAGTGCACATGGTTAACATAAAAGATGACACTGGTTCACATCATACATGTAACAATTCTGATCTTTTCATTTTAAGGTTTGCTGGTGTATTAACCAAACGTTGTCACAAATTACAAATCAATGCTGTAATATAATTTGCACCTGGGATGGCTAACCTGAAGTCTGAATTAAATGTGCTTTTTAGTTTTTACCATCACCAATTTCTATGACTGTTGCAAATTCAGAAACTTTTAGAAAACAGAGTCTTGGAAATGTAGAATTTTGGCGCACTATCTTGTGAGTAAAACCAAGCTATCTTTGTTAAGCATAATTGAGTTTAGTGTAATTGTTGTTAAAAAAAAAAAAAAGTGTGCTTGCTCTACTTAAAATTCCTGACAATGTTGAATTTTGACCTGTATTCAGAAAAATTCCAAAACGGGTCAGTTAAATAAGGAAATATACTATTTGTCAAACCAGTATCAGAGAAAAGTTACATTAATGTATTTGATTATTTGATCTGGTATCTACTTAGTAATGAATAATCAACATTTTTTCTAGTGGACAGGCCATGTTCTTTTCGATTGGTCTTCTGCATTTATGTAAACACACCCCAAATCAATTTATCTTTTGGAGGAATGATTTGGTTGGGAAATTTTGCAGAAACACTCTGGAGCAGAGCAAAATGGTACCTCCGGGTCATCACTGGGACTGGGGGAAAGGACACGCTCCAGGGGAGAAAACAATTCGCCTAGACGAAGATCCCTGGGTAGTTCTCCATGAACTCGCCGAGGGGGCTTAGTGGGTAGTCTCTCGAGCAGCTCTGAGATTAAACTATCATCTGAGTCAATGAGTAATAACAGACCCAGAACAGTTCCCAAACCTTGGCACTTTCGCTCGTTTAGCCAGAGGCACCCGGCCTAGCCTTGGCTTTCTGGTGCGGGGAATGCGGGAGATGGGGGAGCGAGGGGAAGGGGGAGCGGGGGGAGGGGGGCGGTGCGCAGGCACCTGGAACAATCAGGGCACCGGGAGTAGCCGCCGACTCAGCTGATGCCGGTGATGAATTTCTCTCATTGAAATCCTACCCATCTCGGGCGCCTTGGTTCCCTTACGAATCAGCCCTTTAATCACAAAGAAAGCCCTCTTTCCAGATAATCTAAGGGTCATTGTGCCAACATCCGGGCGTGGAGAGTTTCCGTAGGGAGAAGGACGGAGAGGGGCCCCCTCGGCGGGGACGCGGGCCGATGGCTGGAAGGGCGTGGAGG